GAATCCGAGTTGGTTTGCGGCCATGGCGATCTTGCAGAAACTGAGCGAGTCGTAGAACCTCTTGATGTCGAGAAGCGTCGTCGCTGCCCGAATGCTGTAGGCGTCCGCGATCCGCCTCCTAGGGCTCGTAGCATGGCTTCTCGCAGGCAGCTGTTGCCCGCGACCGCTGCATCCCATGGTTCCTCTATCTCTTTAGCCCACAGTCGTACCCTGTCCCGATGCATGAGCTCCCAGGTCCGGCAGATCCAAGGCAGAAGCGCCAGTGCGCGGTCGCCGCCGTCGGCGAGTGCGCTTGCTCCTTTGGCGGTGGCTGGTTTGGGCTGGATCATGACTATGGCCTGGAGTGCTTGCCACGGCCATGTCACGTCTCGGTCGATGGTGTTTAGTAACTGGTTATCTCGTCTCTGCCTGCTGCTCGTGCGTCGTGCGTCGCTAGTGTTGAGTCGGTCCGTACCTCGTCCCTTGTCAGGTATGCCGACGATGGCCTCGTCGAATTGTTCCCTGCTCCATGTCGTGGTTGGGGTCGACAGGGCTTGTTCCCGTAGGTCCTTGAGCAGCTGAGTGTGGGTGATGTGGTCGCCGTGGGCGTCGCTCCAGATGTTGCTGAACGTCGTGCGCTTGAGGTTTGTACGCTCAATTGTGGAGGTCGCTGTCACGGTGTCGTCAATCATTTCGTCCTCATGTCGCATGCTGGGTGTAGTCATCCTGCGCATGGTGCCGTTGTCGCAGCTGTTGGCTAGCCAAGTCGTGTAGTCGCGCGCGTTGCATCCCAAATCACGCCTGATCGCTTGGATTGCTTCCTGTGCTGCCTGCGTAGCCATGCCCTCGATGGTGTCGGTAGGTACGTCCTGAATGTTGGTGAGTCGGTCTTTCCAGAGTGCTCGGTGCAATCTTGCAGTGCGTGTTGATTTGGCTCCTGCTGATGGTGCACCGTCGTGTGCCAGGTGTCGACAACAAGCTTCCAAGGCGTGCTCTTCTTCGTGTCCGACTCCTCGTTGCCTTAGACGGTGTAGCGCCGTGAGGGAGGACTCCGCGCGAGCCCACCAGCTGGCCGTGTATGTGGCATACCTTGGTCGGCGTATCCCGCGTTCTTTTTGTATGCATTGTTTGAGCTGGAAAGGCTGTCCTCTTCCTCTGTAGCGCTTCTGCTCGCTCTCGTGGATTTTGTATGCCTTGCAATAGAAGTTCTCCATGTGTTGCGTGAGCATGTGGAAGATGTGGCTGGCTTCGTGGTGATCTTCTTGGATTGCCTGGTATGCTGCGCTGTCCGTGATGTATGCTGGTGCTGCGGTAGCAGTAGTGGTGTTGTGGTCGTACCCGATCTCGTCCCAGAGCTCATGCATGGTCCTGGTGTCGGCGTCGGGCGCTTGTGCTGGTAGTTGCTTCGGCTCGTCCTTCTTGCTCATGCAGAAGTTCTCGAGCTCGCTGTCGTTGTCACTATCTGCTTCGATGGGTGCGTCTTCGGTTCTCTCCTGATCATGTGGTGGGCCTTCTCCATCCATGCCGTCGCCCATGAGGTCGGCGTTGATTTCATCGAAGTCCATGGGGTCGAAGTCCTCGTCCATTGTAGTTTTGGGTCTCGAACCTGCTGCTGTCGTTGCTGGCGTGCTTGGGAGGAGGGGGAGGAGGAGGAGGAGGAGGAGGACCCACCCAACACAACCCCCCCCGACCAGGTCTGCCCCCCCTTGGATGCCTCCTCTTGGGGGACGCCGCCCGTCCTGGCGGGGGCCGGTCCTGGGCCTGGGGTCGGTGTGCAAGCGTTCCCCTGAGATCCGACGTCGCGACACAATGCGACATCCCCGGGACCCACGACTGGAGTTAGGTCGGGCATGTCCTCCTACAGGCGGGTCTTGGACGAAACATAAAAAATACCCCAAAACTGGTGTTCAAAGATACTCAGAATAGTAACACAAATCGCCCCCATATCATATGCAGGGTAGTTTTCAATACATAAGATGTTTAACAGTATCGGATGTTTAATACTTGATTCATTTATGAATAAGTCTATGCATGAACTCGTCGTTGCTTTTATTACTAAACCCCTGCATGTTTAATACATGATCCGCACGCGGAGCATATCTTAAAAACGGCACTGTAATGTTTTTCTTGTTTGGCATACTCCTCCTGCAGAGGGCCACGCCCGACGTAAGGCCGGAGCCCCGGGCCCCGTCTCTCCGCGGTTAAGTCGGGCCTGTCCCCCTACAGGGGGACTTTCGAGGAAAAATAAAAAATGCCCCAAATATACCCCCAAAAATGGAAAAAATGTTCAACAAAATAACGCCCAGACTATTTTTGGACTACTGTTTAAATACTTTTGGTGTATTCGGTATTTTTCGTCGTCGTCGAAAATCCCTCTGTAAGGGGGACAGGCCCGCCTTACCTCCGCGGCAGCTCTCGAGCCAGGTCGAGCCGCGGCAGCGCCCCGGGGGGGGGGCGGCCCGAGGCGGGGCGGGCGCGGCCGGCGCGACCGAGCACGGCCAGCGCCTGGACCTCGGGGCCCCCGGGCTCGCCTGGGGAAGCTGGGCGAACGAACGAACGAAGCAGCCGCACGCAGAATGCGCGTGGGCAGGAAAAGCGGGCGGGGGCAACGACACGCCAAATGCGCGCCAGCAGTGACAGTTGCACACGCCAAATGCGAGGGCTGGCAGATCCGTGGCTGCCAAAATTAGGTCGGGCCTGTCCCCCTATACAGGGGGACGTTCGACGAATAGTAAAAAATACCCCCAAAAAGGTCAAACATACTCAACATGTTTTTTTACGACGACATGGGAGCGGTTACGGATGAAACTGATTTCGCAGGTGGGTATGTCCACGTGTGGCGGGTGCGACCACACCAGCAACACCGAAACCCTGTCTGGTACCGCCGTACCCGCATTATAGTTAAATACATTCCTTGCTCGTCGCTGCAGTGCCGAACTGCCTCTTGCCTGCTATGCTAGGCCTGTCGCTACAACGGTGCAGCACGCGCAGTGCGGGCTGGCATGCGCTGTGCGTTGGAATTCCCTGCAAGGCGGCCCAGGGAGGTAACCCAGCATCTGACCCGAGCCGAAGACTTACAGACAAGCTGTTCGGGTGGAATGTGGCAACTAAAGAAGGTCCTGCTATGGCGGGTGACGAAAGAGGGGGGGGGGGATTCTCCTCATCTCCTCCTCGGGCATAGCAGGAATGAGGGAGAGTGAATAGGAGTCTAGCTACGGCTTTGTGCGAGGGGGCATCGGAAAAGACCTCGTGGAGCACATCAGGAGAATAAAAATTCGGCAGCCTCCCCATCAGCGGCTAGATCGTGGGTGCGCGCCTCAGGATCAGCATTATCTGAAGGAAGGTCGCCTGACATCTGATGTATGAGGTCGGTCTCGGGAACTACTACAGGCGTCGCTGCAGGGAGTGTGCCGCCAGGCACGAATCGGATCATCCTGTCATTCGTCGGAAATGGTCCAGCCATGTCGATATCTCCTCCTCTAGCCAGCCCGCTGGGGCTGGGCCCAGGTGGTGCTTCGCGATCCCTTCTGAGCGTAGGCCAGCGAGCAGGAGGCCTCGTCCCTGCCAGTCCTCGGCGCCGAGGATCAGCTTGGCGATGCTCGGGTCGTGCGTCTTGTCGATGCGCAGGGAGGCGACTTCGGTCTGGAGGGTCTCTACGTCGATCAGTGGCTCGAGCTGAGGGTCCTCTGGCTGGCATTTCTCGAAGTATTCTTCGATCTCTTTGCGGACTCGGCCTCCCATTTCGCATGTCAGTAGCCCTTCCAACATGGCGAGCGCGAGTGCGGGGGTCGGTGGGCCCAGCATCTTGAGCGCCTCGGTGTCCTCGTTGGTGCGGTAGTTGTTGACCCGTGTCTTGAAGCCCTCGAGTTCCGTCGAGATGTGGGAAACCGTCGGGCGGTTGATTGGTAGCGTCCATGTGTCGGCCACCGTGCACATGATCATCCGTATTTGTTGAGTGTTCTGAAGTGTGAGTGTCATCAGCGAGGTGAGCAGCATCTGCATGTTTTTGTCTTTGTTCGTCCACTGCTTGTCGGCGTGCTGTCCTCGATGAGCTCGTCGTCCACCTCAGCGTCGAGCACGGCGAGGCTCGACCTCCTCCACGTCCATGTCGTCGTCCACCTGGTCCGCTGCCGGCGTCGGTTGGCCCTTGCTGCCCTTGGCCCCCTCGACCTTGCGTCGGCGCTGGGGTGGTTCGTCGGTCTTGGAGTCGTTGCCAGAGGTTCCAGACTTGGTCAAGGACGGTAGCGGGCCTCTCCACGGGGCACGTGCTCCGCGTCGCGGTGCTTTGGGTTGAGCTGGTATGTTCGGCGCCGCTGCTGGTGGCGTGCTGCTGTCCGCTGCTGAGGCCATCCGGTGGAGCTGGCGTCGGGCTGCGGGCTGGTTCTGCTGGTCGTAGTGGTCGCGGTAGTGTCGGAAAGGACGTCAAGGCTGTGGTAGTCGCACTGCTAGTGTCGTGCGTAGGTGGTGGTCGTCGGAGTTGCGGCCGTCGAGCTCGTGAAGTAGTCGGTGCTGTGGCTGAAGCTCGAGTATGTATGCCCAGCTGAAGCGTCGCTGCCTGTCGAATCTCTTGACGAAGCAGAGCGGTGTCGGATGGTCGCCACAGCGGGGCGGCGAGGAATCGCTTAGGCACTGTCGGTCCGCGCGGGCGCGCTCCCCTCGCCGAGCGAGGCAATGTCTTGAGCCGAGGGCCGCGCGGTGACGGAGGGATGCGCGCGCGGAGGTGGGATCGGAGCTCGTCGATGTCGTAATATTCTCGCTGACAATCGATGTTGGGGCTGATGTGTTCGAGCGGACATCGTGTGGCAGTAGTAGGCTGCCGCGTGTGCGTGTGTAGGGTGCGATCGATGAAGCATCGCCCTTCGATCCAGGACCGTCGGCGGCGGGTCTGGCAATACTTGATAGAACCACAAACATTATCACAAACCAGACATTTGTTGTCGAGAGCGATCGTAGATAGGATGGTGGGGGCTCCGTGCCCTGGAAGTGCCGCTGTTGTTTGATGTGCAATGAGTGCAGAGAACGTGCGGAAGGCCTTGATGCAGCCCTCGATGTTGCAGACGAACGGGTTCGGATCCTCGGGGTCGCTGTCGGGGTCTCCCAGAGGGGTCTCGGGTGGCAAGAAGCGGTGACCTGGTGGGGCCAAAGACTGCGAGACGCACGCCTGCCGAAGGTAGCTGAAATCGATCTGCTGGAATGCCTCCTGGATCTCGGGGTCTCTGAAAAACTTCCGAATGTCGTCGTTAATGTCCCAGGGGCCACGGAGGTCGTCGCTGATGGGGGCCGCAAAGGCACTGAGGAGGTCCTCGCGGAGCTGGTGAGCCCAGGGATGTACTTTGGGATCCGTGTTAAGAGCGCCTGATTCCGTGAGGGTGTTGGCGGAGGTAGGAAGGCCTTGCGAAGCACATCGGTCTTCAATCTGGCATCGTCCAAAGAACCCTGAGAGAAGTTGCTCGTGATGTTCGACCTCTCTGCTGATGCTCTGCCACCATTTCAAACGACGAACGCATAGCTCAAGAGACGTGGGGGCGATGCCCCAGACTGTGAACAGCTCACGGGTGGTAAGGGAGTGGTGCTGGCCGTCGCTGTCAATACAATGTGCGCCACCCATGAGCATGCACCGAAGATTTTGTTCTGCGAGGCTCGCATCGATCCGAGCCGTCTCAGCACGGGCGAGGACAAGCGCTGCCAGGCCTGTCCATGCACGGCTCGCGAGATTCGCGAGGAAGACGGGGCGTTTGCAGCGTCTTGGCGTGGCTGAGGTCCAAAAATGGGTGAGCCGTGTCCAGCCCAGGTTACAGGCTCGAATCCGTTCCTCCACCTCGCGAGTGTTGTAGCCGTCGACATGGATGTAGGAGCCGAGGTGGATGAGGTTGGTCATGCATGTGCCACTGAGTTGTCGTTCGGCCTGCTTGGTGGCGTTGCTGGTGGCAAGTCGTACCAGAGTCTCCTGCTTGTGCGCGTTCTGTGCATATCCGCCGTGTCGAAGCTTGGCGTTCATGATAGAGACGTCGATGCAGTCTGTCGCTAGGGCCTGTCGGAGTGTGCCGTCAGGAACTATAATCACACGTACGATGTCGTCGATGAAAGGCGCCCATGTCGATGCGATGGGCGTTGTCTGATGGGGTTGGTGCATATGGGGCCGTCTCCAATGACGGCGGTGAGCTCTGCGCCCCAGTCGATGATGAGTGGGTAGAGGGATTCCATGAAGAGCTCGGGCTCGTTGCTGTCGCCCATACGGCCTCCACTGCATGGGTGGAGCCCGATGGTGTCGTCGTTGGCGTCGGTGCGCATGGTGGCGCGGTGCCGATGTTGCGTGAGCATGTCCTCGAAGTGGGGGTCGTCAGTACGTACGCGATGGGCTGCCAGTAGTCGGTCAGTGTCGCCTGTGCCGAAAGCGTTGCGCATGCCGTAGCTCTTCACAAGGTGTGGGATGTGTGCACTGCGTAGCTTGAAGGCCGCGATGCGCGTGAGCGTCATGAGGCCTTCTCGCCGTCGAGCACGGATGCCACCATAGGCCCATGGTGGCGGGGTGTAGGTGCTGCCAAAATCAACCAATCCGCTGCGGAGATAGAGCCGCCAGAAAGGACAGAAGACGTGCAGCATTCGTAGGCAGTGGTTGGGGTCGTGGACTGGATCTCCGCATGGATGCTTGCCTTTCTCGCCAATAGCTACGGTCTGGCTGGTGTAGGATTGGACTGGTAGGGTTTCTGAGTCTCGGACGTGTTGAAGCAGGTGAGTGAGCATGGTGCATGGGGCGCGGGCGTGGTCGTCGTCGAGAGTGAGCTGGCGTTGGTCAGGGCGTCGTGGTGGGCGTCGTGCTGGAATGGTGGGGTCGTCGTGTTTCGTGTCGTGTCCGAGTCCATGTCGGAGCTGGTGATGGTTGGGGTAGTCGGTGGGGGCATATCCAAGTCCACTGCGTGGGAGTCCTGGTTTGCTGAGGTAAGCCGGGAATCGCATCATAGTGGTAAATTCGGTGGGCCATGACCAGACAGGGGAATATTTGCGGCGTTTGTTCGTCCAGAGTCGGTTGGCCATGGCGTCGAGGCCCTGTGCGGCAGCGAGGAGGGCGCCCAGCGTGGGGTCCACGCGGCACTCGCCGAGGATGTGAATGTCGTTCTCGGGGCGCTGGTGGAGCTCCTGGGCGGCGGCGTCTCCCGAGACATAAATGCTGAGGTGCGTGGGTGTCGCCGCGAGGCCGCCGTCGGTAGCGGGCTTGCCGAGGGCGGCGCGGTAGTGGTCGGCTGCGGGCCGTGCGCTCGGGAACGCCAAGTAGTCACGTTTCTAGGGTCCAGCCTTAGTGCCTGCACGGAGTCTGCTGAATTCTGCGACGCGTGCGAGGTCGCGGCGGCGGTAAGCGTCAGTGATTTGTTCGTCAAGAAAGTGATGCCACCATGCCCGTTTCCATTGTGCGTGTTCACGGAGTCGTCGAGAGATGAGCTTGAGGTGGGTGTCGTCGACCGCCATGCCTTTGTCACGTAGTTGTGCGCGTTGGGGAAGGAGGTCTTGTCGCGTGCGTTGAGCGTCTTTGAGCCAGGCTGGATGACCTCCATGGCGGGAGTAGTGCGGGATCGCGTCTTGCTGGGCCAGGTATGCGACGTAAGCGGCGTGTCGGTCAGGAAGCTGGTCGTGTTGGAGCACTCGGAGGGTATGGGCGTGTTGAGTGAGCTGCTGGTGTAGGTCGTGAAGGAAGTCGGCGCGTCGGCATCCCGTCTGCAGTCCTGCTGCTAGTAGGGCCCCATCCCAGCGTGGTGCATGATCAGTGGATGATGACGTCAGGCATGTAAGTTGGACGTGAATGAGCATTGGAATGTGGTCGAGCATGTGGGGGAGGACACGCAGTCGTTGGTGGGAACGCCAGCATAGTTTGAGCTTCGTGATGATGGGGAACGCGTCAATCGGGCCGATCCAGTAGTCAATTCTGCTGCGAGCACCGCCGTTGCCGTAGAATGTCGGCCCAGTGTTCCAGAAGGTGTTGTACGCGCAGAGCTGGTTGAGGATGAGACTTTCGTGTATGGATGTGCCCACGGTCGTCTCTGGGGCGGACTGCTGTGGTCCGATGCTGTCGTCGGTGCATGCGGCTCGATGGCGTCGTCCCATGCATTGGTTGAGGTCGCCGAAGGAAAGTGGTGTCATGCGTGTCGGGGTCGAAGTAATCTCAGCGGTGATCCACTGCCAAAGTCGTGTACATGTACGTTCCGTAACCTTTGCGTGTGAACTATGCGGGACTGGTGGTAGATAGCCAACAATCAACCTGACGCGAAAATGCCCTCGTACTATATCAATAGAGCCCGCACGGCCCTGTAGGTCGGATGGCGGGGATGCTATTCTGACCACGTGCTTGGGAGAAAAACGTCGCTTAGAGACCGCGATGGAACATCCACAGGCAGAGGTGACATGTGGAGATCGGCCCCAGCCCCAGTGGATCCAGAAATGATGTCGGGACTCTTCGCGATGATGTGATAGCTGCGCAATATGTCGAATATGTGTGCCAGGACATAGGATGCCGTACTGGTTGCGGAACTCGTGACTAATAGAGTCGGTTCTTCCAGGAAAGCTGATGAGAGAGTACGGGTTCCAGCCTACGAACTTCGCGTTCTCGCTGTGTCGTAATATACTGCTGCATCGTCGCCATGTCGTTGTCATTCAGGGTCTTCCAGCAGCGCCGCGCCTCGCCGCGGCGCACACGGAGCGTCTGGGCCAGCCTCAGCAGGCTGGAGGCGCCATGGCGGGAGACTGCACGAGAAGTGTGGGAGGGAAAAGGGGAAGCGTGTGAGGCCGATTCGCACGGGGGGATTCGAGCCGTTCGCGGCCTTATACTCAACAAATAGTCTGGGGACTATTTTTGTATTTTTTTGTATTTTTGCGGTATGTTTTATTTTTCGTCGAAAATTCCCCTGCAGGGGTACAGGCCCGACCTAATGCTAAAACGGAAAGACCAGATTCCGGGCATCAAGCTCAGCGCACGGAACAGTGAACGGGCTGCTTCTCCCGGAAAAAGAGAGAATTTCCCGGAGCTCCGTTTTAGCAGCAACGGGCTTGCCAGCCTCCGCCTGGCTTCTGATCGCCACCGCTCGGACGCCCATTCCCCGTGCACTTTTCGGCGTCGTGCGTGCACCGTCGCAAGATGATCCAGGATGCTCCCTCGATGTGCACGGTTTCCCAAGGGGCCGTAGGCGACCCGAGGGAAGCAGGGGGAGGAGGAGGAGGAGGAGGAGGAGGAGGAGGAGGAGGAGGAGGAGGAGGAGGAGGAGGACGGGTCGCCTAAGCCCTTCGGAGAAACCCTCCACCTCGATGGCCCACGTCGAGACAAAACAAATGCACACGTCCGAGCGATGCCAGGGCGAACTCCCGCCGCGCGAGGCGGCGCGGGCCTCTCGACCGCCTCGGCGCTTCCTCTGCGGCGTCGCCGACGCTTCGCGCCGCTCGCATCGTGGCGTTTTCGTTCGGGCTGGACCGATCTGTGCTGGTCTCGGGGGGAACGAAAGGGGGGGATCGCAAAAGGTTAGGGTAGAGAATCAGCTCACGTAGCTGATTTTCCCAGCGCCTCATGGCGCCGGGAGGCCCCCTTGTATCAAGGAAGGGGCCCGGCGGCGGGGCCGAAAACAGCTGCATGCAGCAGATTTCGTACCCCCCCCTTTCCCTGTCCCCCCCTTTCGTTCGGCCCGATAGTCCGGGGGACCCGAGCCGCGCGAAAGCGCCCAGTGTGAAAAATGATCCTTCCGAAGGACCCAACCATATGCAGTTGTGCATGCGTGCTGCAGCTGCGGGGATCGCCTTCGGTGGAGTCATGGGGCCACGAAACGTGTGAGCGGTGTGCCGACATGGGCGGGGGGCCGCACGGGGACCCTCCCGCTGGTGCTTTCGGTGGAGCTCCCTATGGGGCCACGAGGCGTGTGAGGGGTGTGCCGAAGTAGGCGGGGAGCCGCAATGGGGCCCGCCCACTGGGGCCGGGGCGTGCCGAAACGGAGACACGTGGAGGGCAGCTGCAGGGATGGGAGGAGGGAGGAGGGAGCACGGGAGGGGGCCGCGGGAGGTGGGAGCGAGACGCGGGGCTATGCCGCTTCAAAACGAGGACCCAACACCGCAGGATGGCTGGGACAGAATGCAACGCCCGGGTCCCAGGGAAAGAATGCAGAGTATCTTTTAACCGATCCCCATCCCCAGCGGCGTGGCCTGGGCCCCACTGGCCGATTTTCCCCCCTGGGTGGGGGTATAGGTCGTTCCCTTCGGGTTTCGAGGGGCGTACGTACCCCCAACTGGGGTGGCAGTTTGGTGGGGGTCTCGAAGGGGATGGGGATGGGGATGGGGATGGGGATTGGTTAAACGATACCGAGGGGAAAAGTGCAACGCCGATCTGGGGCCCCTCGGTCGGCCCGGGCCAGGGGCGGTGCCGGGGCGCGTGCTCTCGGCGCCCCGCCGGCCTGGGCCCAGAAGTGCCGCCACCGGGCCTGGACCTCCTCGAGCTGGGCGGTCGCCTCGGCTTGAGGAGGAGGAGGAGGAGGAGGAGGAGGAGGAGGAGGAGGAGGAGGAGGAGGAGGGGGAGGAGGGGAGGAGGAGGAGGAGGAGGAGGAGGAGGAGGAGGAGGAGGAGGAGGAGGGAGGAGGAGGAGGAGAGGAGGAGGAGGAGGGGGAGGAGGGGGAGGAGGGCGGAGAGGAGGAGGAGGGAGGAGGAGGAGGACGAGGAGGAGGAGGACGTTGAAGTCGCAAGTGGACAAAAACCTCTGTAGAGGCCTCCTAGATGGGGTCGGAGTAGATGGGGTCGGAGGATCGCGCCGCATCGCCGATACGTCGGCGGTGCATCGTCAACGTCGGCGAGGCATCGGCGATACCGACGTGAAGCAAATTGGGCTGCACATCGAGCCGCATCGGCGATGCATCGGCGATGCGGCGCGATCCTCCAACCCCATCTACTCCGACCCCATCCGGGAGGCCTAGACTTCGACGAGCGCGTTCCACTACTCGCAAAGCAGCTGCTCTCAAATGGCCTGGATCCGCCACAGGTCATCCACGATAAAAGTACATCAAAGCAGACATGTGTTTTGGGGGACGTTTGCGAGTGGGTACTTTGCGAGCAGTGGAACGCGCTCGGCGATTGGACTCTGGCTCGAGGAGGAGGAGGACGACGAGGCGGAGGAGGACGTGGATGATGATGATGAGGAGGAGGAGGAGGAGAAGGATGGGGGAGCAGCAGGAGGAGGAGGAGGAGAAGGAGGAGCAGGAGGAGGAGGAGGAGGAGGAGGAGGAGGAGGGGGAGGGGGAGGAGGAGAAGAGGAGGAGGACTTCCTTAGCCCTTAGCCTGTCGTGGCCTGTTCCAGGGCGTGCCCGGGCCGCCTCGGGACCCCTCGGGGAGCCCTCTTGGGGTGCTCGTGGGGCACTCTTGGGTTGTCTGGGGAGCCTCCTGGGCCATCTTGGGGCCCTCTTCGGGGCCTCGTGGGCCGTCTTGGAGCGATCTGAAGGACCTCCGAGGCCGTGAGGGAGCGCTGGGAAGCGGGAAAAGCGAGAACGCCCAAATCCTCCCAAAACCAACGAAACATGTATGAATCTTGCTTCTCAAGGCCCTCTTTGGGAGCCTCTCGAGTCCGTCCTGGAGCGTGGTGGAGTCCTCGTCGGCTGTCTTGAAGGCATCTTGGGCGTCTTCGGGGCCTCTTGGGACTGTCTTGGGTCTTGGGCGCTCTCAGGA